CCCCCCCCCCCTAACCTCTCCTCCCCCTTCCTTCCTTTCCCCTCTCGCCTCTCTCCCTCCGCTTTTTCTTACACTTTTCCACTTTTCTTCTCTCCACTTCTTCTCTTTCTCTTCTTTCCCCCCTCTGTTTCCTTCTTCCTCTGTCCTTTCTTCCCCGTCTTTCCTTCCATCCACTATATCCCTCCCCCCCCCTCCTTTCCCGTTTCTCTTCCCCCATTCCTTTTCCACTCCTCTCTTTTATTTTCCCTCCTTCCTATCCTCCTTCTCCCCTCTTCGCCCCTTCCTCTTTTCCTTCGCTCATTTTTCTTTCTCCCTTCCTTTTCCTTTCACTTCCACTCTCCTTCCCCTGTCCATATCTCTCTTTCCCTTTCCATGTCCCGTTCCTTTCTCTCCTTCCACTTCCATTCTCCCCTTCCCTTCTCTCATTCCACTTCCTCCCCCATTCCCTTCCCTTCTCCTCCCTCATTCGCCGTCCATCCTTCCCTTTCCTCATTCGCCGTCCCATTCCCTTCCTTCTCTCATTCGCCTTCCATTCCCTTCCCTCTCCTCATTCCCTATATTCCCTTCTCCCTTCCTCCTCATTCTCTACCTTTTCCTTTCTCCTTGTCTCCTTGCCCCTACCCTTCCCTTCCCATTTCTCTTCCCCCTACCCTTCCCCTCTCGTCATTCCGCCTTACATTCCCTTACTACTTCTCTACTTTCCCACCTTCCATTCCCTTCCTTCTCTTCTCTACTTCTCCTTCTCTATCCATCCTTGCCTCTCCTTCCCCTCCCCTTCCCCTTCCCTTCTCATTCTTCCCCTTCCATTCCTTTCCCTTCCCTTCCATTCTCTCCATTCCCTTTCCCTTCCTTTCATCTCTCCTTCTCTCTCCCCCCCCCTTCCCCTTTCCCCCTCCTTCCCGTCTCACCTTCCACTTCCATCCCTTCCTTTCTCTCCTTCCCTTTCCCTTTCCTTCTCCCCTCCCCCCCTATCCCCTACCTCCCCTTCCCTTCCCTTCTCTCCTTCCCCTTACCCTTCCCTCCTTTCTCCCTCCTTCCCTTCCTACCTTTCCCTCCCCATCCCCCTTTCCCTTCCCTTCCCTTCCCTTCCCTTCTCTCCTTCCCATTCCCTTACTTTCCCCCCCCCCCCCTTCCCTTCCTTTCTCTTCTCCCTTCCCCTTTCAGTTACCCCTCCTTCCTTTCTCCCCTTCCCCTTCCCCTTCCATTCCCGCCCTTTCTCTCTTCACCTTTCATTCCTTCCTTCCCCTCCTTCCCCTTCCCCATTCCTTTCCATTTCCCTTTCCTTCTCCTCCTTCCCCTTCCCTTCCTTTCTCTTCTCCTCCTTCCCTTCCCTTCTCTCCTTTCCCTTACCCTTCCTTCTCTCATCCCTTCCCCTTTCCCCTTCTCCCTTGTCTTTCCCTTTCCTTCCTTTCACCTCCTTTCCCCTTTTTCTTTCTCTTTATTTCCCTTCTCTATCACAACCATTACTCACTCCTTTTTTCTCTCTCCTCCTCTCCTTTTTTATTCCCCCTTCCCTTCACTCTATCTTTCCCTATCTTCTTCCTTTCTACATTTATAAATCCCATTTCCCTTTCCTTCTCTTTCTTCCTTTCCGTTTCTCTCCCCTAACCTTTCCTTACCTCGTCCTCTCCTTCCCTCCTTCCCTTCCCCTTCCCTTCTCGTCCTTTCCTTTCCCTTCCCTTCCTTTCTCTCCTTTTTACTCCCCTTCCCTTCTTTCCTCATCCTTCCCCTTCCCTTCTCCCCTTCATCTCCCTCTTCTCCCCTTCCTGTTCCTTTCTCCGCCCTTCCTTCCCTTCACCCCTTTCCCTTCCCGCCTTCTCCTTTCCCTTCTTCCCCCTTCGCCCCTCCCCACCCTTTCCTTCACCCTTTTTCCCTCTTCTATTCTTTTCCCTTTCCTCCTCCCTCTTCTCTCCTCATTCCTCTTCTACTCCTTCCTTCTTTACTTTCTTTCTCTCTCCCATTCTCATCCACCTCTTCCATTTTCCTCCCTTCTTCCACATCTTCACTCCCTTCCCCCTTTACCTCCCCTCTCCTTTCCCCTCACCACCCTTTCTTTTCTCATTCTCTTTACCCTGCTCCCTTTCTCTTCTTACCCTTTCCTCCCCTACCCTTTCCTTTCTCCTCCCCTTTTTTCCTACTTCCCCTTTCCCATTTCTTTCTCCTTCCTTTCCTCCTCCCCTTACCCCTTCCCTCCCTTTCTCTTATCTTTTCTCCTCCCCTCCCCTTTCCCTTTCTTCTTCTCCTTCTCACCGCTTCCAATTCCCTTCCTTTTCTTTCATTATCCTTCTCCCTTTCTTCGCCCCTCCCTTCCATTCTCCCCTTCCCCTTCCCTTTCAAACTCTTCTCCCCCCCTTTCCCCTTCAATTTCCCTTCCATTTCTCATTCTCCATCCCCTTCACCCTATAACCCTACTCCCCTTAATATCGCCCCTTTCCCCTCCACTTCCCTTTCCCTCTCCATTCTTGCTCTTCTCTCTTACCCTTTCCCTCGTTCACACCTC